ACTTACGTTTTATCGTATTGTAATTTGGGTAATTTAAACGCAACTTGTATATATGTCTTAAATTTGAAGTGTAAATTTCAATTACTAATTGCGCGTGAGAATGGCATTTCCATGGACTTTTCGCGCGGTACCGTAAAAGAGAGCAAGAGTGCGCTGTTGATTAAAGAAGGACAGAGAGATGTAGTAGCCGAAAATATGTGCTGTCGCTGTCCGAAATCGGAGAACGATTTTTGTCGGCAATCAAACCAGAACCAATTATTTTAGTGCCTAAACCCACGCAGTTTCGGGGTAAGTCTTTTATTGGTTTTGCCATTTATCGATTTTTGATAATTTTTAAAATACAGTCCACTGATTAGCTCGTACAATAGTGAAATGATAATACATTCCCAAAAATATATACAGCTTTCGTTCCGTCTTTATAATATAGAAAGGGATTGCTAGTTTTAAAATTATTGTCACCAAAATTTAGTTGATTTAAACAGTTTATTTTTTCTGTGTATCTTCTTTTTTGAAGAAACCTTAATGGTAGAAGCGATTTTCACGGAACGATTTGCAGGATATGTTAGATAGATGATCTTTCTTGGATTGTAAACAGAAACTTCCAGTACTACCAGCAAGATGGTGCCCAGACACATCGTGAACCCAGATGTACAAGATTTCTCAATTATTTTGTACCCAATCGTTAGATTGGTAATAACGGTCCCATAAACTGGCCCCCTCGTTCACCCGACCTCCATTGGATTTTTCCATATGGGGTTACATAAAAGACCAAGTACATAGGCGCCGGAACCATGGGGGCAATGGGGGCTTGAGCCCCCATAGTGAATTTTCGTTTGTTTTCATGATAGGTATATTTACATCACATGAATATATCATGATATACCATTAAATTTTTTTTGCCTAGTTTATCATGGAAAAAAATTCTATTTCTATCTAGAAAGCAAAGCCCCTTAATATTTTTTTTGGCCAATTCGGATGAAATTCGGAATACTGGTGAAAGGAGTCCAGAAAAGTTGATATTCCAAGTTTTAGCCCTCTCCGACCTACCGGAGGATTTTAGTCCCTACCCCCCCCCCCCCCCCCCCCCAATTTTGGAAAAGAGCGTGTAATGGTACACGCCCTGCATTTACTTTTCCGAATTTTGAAAAAAGGAAAATACCACCGGATAGAAAAACCAAAAATACGTCGAAAATTTCTCTTGGTGTTTTTCGCTCCGACGCTTCGTAAGGCCGGAAAAAAATAAAAAATATTTTGATCTTGGAAAATTTTGGGGACTCTGCACGGCGCCACAATCAGGTTTCCTTCGAAAGAGCAATAAATTACCTACAAAATTGTTTTTTATTGATATTCCAGGTTGTTTCTGTCTCCAAGATATAAGCCGTCAAAATTGAAATTTCTTTGAAAATGTATTGAAAGTTTTGAAGTAGGTTTTCTCAAAAACGGTGCCTTGTGGAGGGGTAACTCCAATAAGTTTTTTTGTCATTCTTAATGAGATCTACAAGTTTTGCATTTAGGGTTTTTCTCCCTGGCTCTCCATTTTCCAGCTAGGATGCTTGAAATTTAAAAAAAATAAATAAAAATAAGGATGTTCTGATTTTTTTTGTCATGACCGTCTAAAGGGAATCCCAAATATCTCCTAAATAAGTTCAGTTTATTTTTTTTCCAAAAATACCGTAAAAAGACCAAAATTTCGTGTATGTGTATAGTAGTCTAGTCCTGTCTGTATAATTAATTATACTTCTGGTAATTTTTGGAGCCCGAGCCCCCATAGTAATTTTGAAATTCCGGCGCCTATGACCAAGTATCTATACAAAACTAGTCCCTTGGATGTAGATGATCGCAAACGAAAAATTTTAGTAGACCATAGCAAAGTTTCTCCCAGAATGCTGCAAAACATCCAAAAGGAAGTGATAAAAAATGCAAGACTAGGCTTGAAAAACAATGGGGAACATTTTCAACACAACAATATTGTTTTTAAATTGAAAATATGTGTAGTTGAAATTTTTTTTATTTACAATCATACATCTAATGTTGACTTTTCTGACTTTCAAAAAGTTTGTAAATGTCACTTTTTTGATTTTTACTATCCACCTACAGGTCGAAAATTTACTTTCCTCCCGTGGGCCGAAAGTTGATGAAATGCTAAAATTTATTGTCTTTTTCTGACTTGGTAGATGGTAGTCAGCTGGATCCAAGGATGTATCCAAAATAGACTTGAGTCGTTCGTCTTGAAGCAAACGCGACCACGAGTGTAACTTTTCAGGAAATGGACGCAATAAAAAAGGTTCTTAACTTCCATTAAAAAAAAACTGCTCAATTATGGAAAAGAAAGTGAACAGGTATCAGCAGCATTGGAAGAGCTTCATCAAACAGCAGAAAATGGTTCACCACATAGGGTAGACGTCGACACTGAGATCTCAGAGTTAGCCCAAGATATCCAACCCGGTATATGTATATGAAATACAGAATGGGGAACTTGTATTTATAGAGCCATGCAATCCAACAACTGAAGATACTACCAATAACTCGTGGACAGGTAATGCCGAGGCCACACAGGGCACTACGTACGCTTTGTTCGCGATGCATTCCAAAATTATCCATCGGTATTTTACACGTACCCGGCCACACCGACACTGGTACGCTATGTCCGCTATGTTCGCGATCTAAGCCACGTCGCCCAATGTTTGATTCTCGGCTATATTCAAAACATCGCGAGGGCTGCCGCGGAGATTTTTTTGCTTCAGTGTAGTGTGATCTGTCGAAGGAAAATGTCGTTCCTCGAACTGTTAATTGAAGAAGTGCGGAAGCATGATTGTCTGTGGAACAAAAGCCTGGAATCTTATAGAAATCAAAATATATGAGATAATGCCTGGGAAAGGATATCTAATGAATTGAAAAAACCAGGTAAGTTATGATATCATATATTGTAATTTATCTAGTTTATACCATGCATGTGCAACTCTTATGGCGCAATTTGTTCCGCTAAAAGCTTGCGACTACAGACGGCAGAGGCGCTGTCGTCCAAGGCTGTTGTTAGATTTATACATAAAAAGTACAGTCCATTTGTTTTAAAAAGCTTCCAACAATGGAAAAAAGTCGTGTGCCTCGCTAACATATAAGTGCCAGTAATACGATTTGAAATTACATTTCTTTTTCAAAAGAAATATCCCATACTTTTGACATGTGGCAGCGTCGGTCACTTCACTTTCACTTTTTCATCATATTTTGACAAATTTTGACATATTCCATTTTTATTCAATAATTTGAATCAGAGATTGAAAATTTTCTCCGTTGAAAGCAAAATAGTTAAATCTTTTCGTGTAGCAATGTGTGAAAGCCGAGGAAACAGAGTAAAAATGCATCGAATTCCCAAAAATGATGAGCAGGTATGTATCGATCCCTGCATTATACCGAAATTGGGATTTTACCTCCTGTAATTTTACCACTGTAACTTTTCTTTCTCTTTAGGTGTTTATTTTATGCCTGCAAAACGTTTACAATCAAAAAATCTTATTCATTGTAAGTACCTATTATTGATTGGATTTCGTATCATACTGTAGTTAATAAAGAAATTCAAAATTGTTATTTTTGTATTTAATACATGGATTAATTAGTATGTAACTCTTCGGTATGTGATCAAGAGACTGTTTACCATAATTTTATTTCCACTAGAAACATAATATTAAGCTGTTTAGTGCTAGTGGCAATAAAAGATGATAAACGGATCCTAAAGAAAAAAAAATTAATTCAAAAAGGAGCGCTTCCCGCGCTCTCAAGTTGCTGACTACACACGCGAGAGGGCGCTGTAATCAGGAACAAAATGTTTGTATTGAGTTGCCCATCTATATTATAGGTTCGAGATAGTTTTGTATCCCTTATCTATGGTTTATACGATTTACTACTCTTTCTTGCCATGGAACTTGGCCCTCATTAGACATAAAATAATTCGTAAATAAATTCCGAATTTGAATTGCGTCCCTTGTTGCATTTGTTGCAGCATCTACATGCAGTGGCACTAGGGGGTTGTCCTGTACCTCTTCGTTTACAACTCCAGGCTTACCTTGTGTAGGTGTCTCATGGATATGATTGTGAAGAACGATAGTTGCTAAAATTATTTTCTCAGCAAGATCAATGCGACATTCCAGTGGTGTTTGACAAATTCTCCAAACGCTTGCAAGAATGCCAGAGGCGTTTTCTACTGTGTTTCTACTTCTTGAAAGCCTGTAGTTAAATATTCTTTCAGACTCGGAAAGCCTTCGAGCAGACCTTGGAAAAGGACGCATCAGAAATCTTTTAAGCGGAAATGCTTCGTCTGCCACGATAACATAAGGTAACAAATCTCCACCTAAATCTTCATCAGGAGGTAATCCAAAAGTTTGTCTTGCCAAGCGCTTTCCCATACTGCTATTCATAAAAACATTCCCATCACTAACTCTTCCATATTGCCCTACGTCAACAGAAAGGAATATTTTATTGCCGTCAACAAGTGCTAATAAAACAATGGAGTGGTACTTCTTGTAGTTAAAGAATTGTGAGCCTTGTGCCGGAGGTACTTTGATTCGGATATGCTTGCCATCTATCGCAGCAACGCAGTGAGGGAAGTTCCACTTCTCTCGAAATACACTTTCAGATGCTTTCCAAATATCTGCATTAGGTTCCGGCATAACTATAGGCTGAAGGTTTTTCCAAATGGCATCACACACATCTTCGACAATGTTGCTTACAGTCGCTCTGCCCATGCGATATGTGAAAGCCATTGACCGAAACGAATTCCCAGTTGCGAGGTACCTACAACAAAGAGAAGCAATAATAAATTAAACAAATTTTTATTCGACGGTATTTGTCGAGGGGTGCGCAAAACCATATACAAGTATTTATTATTGTTAACTCTGATTTTTTCTATTAAATAGCTAATAATTTTTCTACTATTTAGCTAATAAAACAAAAATTACAGTAGATGACATGAAACGTGAGTGGAAAAAACTGCAAGATTGTTACAGACAAGCCATGTTAAGAAGAAAAACCAAGAGTGGACAATCTGCAACAAAAACAAAACCTTGGAAGTACGAAGAGTTGATATATTTTCTTGCATCGGATACATTGCCAAGAAGGTAAATTAAAAATAGCAAATAAATAAAAAGTGCAATAAATTTATATTTTTACAGCACTTAGTCCAACGTTCTTGATCCTGACGATGAAAACTCGGATAATGTAGAACCAATCGAAGCTAATGATGACACCCAGGGGCAGCATGAAGAGGAAGAAAATGCGTTAGAAGATGACCAGTCTAACTCTGCCTTAAACAGCCAAGGTCCACGTTATAACAAATCTTTTAAAAGTAACAGGAAGAACGTTCAGAAAGAAGATGATGGAGTTCAAAAAGTTATAACATTTCTAAATAAGAAAGAGAGCAATAAAAACAAAAATGGGGAGCTCGATTACTTTTTTGCAAGTGCTTGCGAGAGCACCAAAAACCTACCACGCTATCTGCAGCTCAGAGTTAAACAAGAGATAATGGATGCAATTATAAAGGCAGAAAGTGAATACCTAAATACCAGGCCACAATAATCTGCCACTTCTACAAGCGGTAGCGTAGCGGTACAGACACCAATGGTGTCACCACATTCCGATCGGTCCGAACAACCACTGGTGTCACCACATTCCCATCGGTCCGAACAACCAATGATGTCACCACCATCTGATCAGTCCCAACAACTATACGTTACTGGCAGTGAAACAGGATGGAACAACCCATGGGGCAACACAGGACCTGTGTATGAACAACCATTTAATATTCCTCAAACCCCATGTAATCAGAATGTTGGACAAACATATTTCAACTGAAAGTGATGTTATATTGTCACGCTAAAAAGTTTTTTAATTTTATTCATATGTTACGTCCAGATTTTGGTCGCAACGTCGTCCAAATACCAGACGAATAATCCGGGATTGGAAGGAATAAAAAGTCCAATTTAAAACAATAACAAATCGGGATTTATTAATAAATAATAGAAAAGAAAGTTTAACAAAAAAATTGAATAAATAAAATAAAACAAAATGAAATTTTGGAAATTAAAAATTGAAAGTTAAATCAGATTGCGATAAAATACAAATCGAAAGATTTTGGTTCGTACTTACATTATATGACTCAACATAATTTTGCACAACACTTTGTACTTTCTTGAAGTCTGCGAGGGTACTGTCCAAGCTTTAATTCGGTTTTTCGCCATCGAGTCTTTGATAAGTCAGCGAAATCAATTTTACCTTTGAAATAATTGAACTATCGTTTTGCGGACTCATCGAAGTTACAAAATTATAGTTATTGATTCGTAACCGAAATTGTTTAATTTTACAAAAGGAAACGACTTGCAGTTTTGCGAAAAGTCAGTGAACTGAACTTTGAATAGAAAATTAAAATATTCAGTTTTTTTCTGAAAAATATTTCCTTTTGTAAATTATAAAAACTTTTTAGCGTGACATTACCCTCGGGCGTAAAAGAGCTGGACCCCAGCTCTAGATAAACCAAAGTACTACAGAGAATGGCTGAAGGTCCCTAAATCACATAGGCAAAAAAAAAAATAAAAAATAACCAAATGAAACAAAAATGAAATAAAAAAAAATTAGAAAAAAAAAATTAATAAATCCCTAAAAATTAAATCTAATTAAAATACAAAAGAAATTAAAAGTAAAAAAAAATTCAAAACAACCTTGTCTTGTACACGTCGTTTTCTCGAGTCTCTGAGCCTTGATACGGCCCTGTCGGTCTGGTTTACTCCATTTTGCTGTTGCTGTTCTGTGTTTGCGTTTCGTCGTAAGTCGGAGTCGGCTGGCGCTGGCTTGGTTCGTCGCACTGATCGCTTGCAAATGATGCGCCATCTATGGGTTCGCCCGCCCAAGTCATTAGCTTGACCTGGCGGATGCCGGGATCTGCCTCGATTTGTTCAGGTACTCGTAGTACTAGCACAGTACGGTACTTGGTTATGTTATGGTTCTGACTTGACATAACCTCGTTTTTTGGTTACAGAAATCAAAACAAACTTTCATGAATGAGTTTTTTATTTTTGGGTTGCAAGCTAAGCAGTTTTCGGTTGCGGGGAGTGTCGTCGCCTCTTAATGCTGGGAGAACACCCTTTGTGAAGATGTTTTTTGTGCAGTGTGTAGTGTTCTTTGGTACCCTGGTACCTGGATTGACCCTGCTGATATGGGTACTCCGGCGTTTGAGTATTTTTGTTCTCTCGGCTTGCCTTGCATTTGATAAGTTCAGAGTTTGTGTGTGTGTTTGTGACCGGTTTGGTAGTCTGATTGAATTCTCGCAGACTTTGGGAGGCATGATAGGTAACTTGAGTGACCTATCCCTATTGCTGGCTGATTGTCTTGTGCTTCTATTTTCAGGTGGTGTCTCCAGTTTGTTCAGATTGATCAGAACTTTGGAATACTGGCAACAGTGCGCTTTTGATTGCTAGCTTTCACAGAATCTTCCTGCATGCTGGATGTGGCCAGAGACTGTGGTCTGGGTTTCTGTGGTATTGGTGCTGGTCTCGGTGCTGGTACTCTTCATCATATAGGAATGGAGGTTCAAGGCTTCAGAGTCTCAGATTCGACGGGTTTTACAGTTTGTTTGTGTACATGAAACAAAAAAAAGTGTATGTATCTCCTATTATTTACTGCTTAATATCTAAATTTATTACTACGTACGTCTAGAACCAATATAAACTTAGACCCCTTAATTATTAATTCAATTTTTCCCATATTATAACTAGGTTAAAATAGTCGATTAAAGATTAGTTTAAAAAAACTTGTATATTTGTATATTAATTAATTGTTTTAAAGTATTCTTATTTATTTATTTCTCTAAATCGTGCTTTGATATAAGTTATTGGTCCCCTGATTTCCCTTAATGCCCAATCAACTGAATCAATTTTATATGTCTCTGTTTTTTTTTTTTTTTTCAGTGGGGGTAATTATTATTTAGTGAATTTAGTGAATTTTGGACCACTTTCACTTCATGTGAAGACTATACTTAATAGTAAACTTATTCCATTTTATCCCATAATTCATTATTTTCCTATTAGGTACCCATTATATATTTTTATTTATTTTTTCAAATATTTTGTTAGATAGTTTGTTTATTCAACTTCTAACTCCCCAATTAGATTAGACCCATATTTTTTTTTTTTTTTTCTTCATTAAAAATGTACGACGTCCGTACTTTCAACATGTATTGTGCACATACATGTATCTTTTTGTCTTAATTTTTCTTATATACTGAGTAAGCATTAATGCAATTATAATGATATTCATCCAACAGCTGGCCATTGTGATATCACTGCTGAGGCTTAAATAACACCACAATATACATCAATTGACAAGGGTATAGAAGAATAATTAAAAATAAGTACCCTTTAGTGTTTTGGGCCTATCTACTTTGCACAGGAAACATCCTGTACTTATTCAAAGACATTCAATTGATAAATTAATTTTTTCTCCTGGGGCTAGAGATATTTGACTTCTCTCATCATTTATTTCTATTGAGAATCTTTTTGTTGAATTCTCAGTTGAATTCAATTGGGACGAGGGGGTGATTCGAGGGGTGATTGTTTCTAATTCAATATTTTCCTCGCAGGATCTAGGGACACTATTTCGTTTTTTCTGTTTCTCAGAGTTTTTATGACAACATTGAGAGATTTGGCAGCGCCTGCAAGTGACCAGATGATAAGCTATGTAGAATAGGAAGACTATTAGACAAAAGTAGATTATTCCAAGTAATGCATCGTGGGTCATGGTTGATCCCAGGGTAGTTCCTGTCTCTCCATTTGCGTATGGAATGGTCCCGACAGTTACAATTAGGCGGTTTTGCCTAAGAATTAGGAAACCTAGGAGTATGGACAGAATTGTATTCCAAATTAGGAACAGTGTGTAACCATGAACTGTATAATTAGTGCCAAATGATGTAATTAAATTATACTTCGAATCAATATTATTTAAAATGTCTTTTATTGCGTTGTCATTTGATGTTAAATTTAGATGAGGAATATGCAGTGTCCAATTTGTGTTGAGGCACTCAGTTATATTTTGGTACCTTGGTGTACTTTGTATCAGTTTAGGATCCAACACAAATGACTTTAAATTGGACCAGGTGGCGGGTATGATATGTACAGTTTTTGGAATACTTGTAGGTATTTCAGGACAAGGAAATCTTTTTGGTATGATTATTTCACCTTCTGAATGAAGTTTGCAGTGACAGGGTAGGTGGACTTTGATAGATCCTTGATGTTTGTATTGGCTGGGAACCTCAGTGGACTTTTCCTCACACGTGAGAATAGTATTTGGTTTGGGGTGTGTGGAACGCAGCAGAAACAGTCATATTCTATCAACAAAACCGTTAGATATTCATCAAAATGAATCAATATGAAGCATTAACACGAAATACTGACTTGTACCCTCTATCATTCGTTGAGAGGTTCGGCTCTACTAATGCACATTGGTCAACAGAAACATGGAGTCGCCGCGAAAGGTCCCTATGTCACGATATGGTGTGTGTGTTACTTGCAAATTCAGAGCCATCAACAACGCTGGAAGATCAAATTGTCGAAAGTTTGAAAAGGAAGAAAAACCAGTTATTGCCAGAGCAAGCCAAACATCCAAGATTAGAGTCCCCATCGGAAGATGATGGCGATGATGACAAAATGTTGAGTGGTGACCAATCCTCAGAAAGCGGGGACGAGATCCAACTTTTTGGCAGTGATAGTGACTTTGACTTTGATGCCGAGGAAACATTCGAAGAGGCTCATAGTGAACTCACAAAGTATAGATATATAGTTCTCGAAGGGCTTATAAATGCTGCGATGTTCCAAAACCATTTCCTGACTAAATGGGAACAGGTGCGTCCAAACAAGTAATTTGATATAATAGACACTAAAGAGAGGATCTTAATAGAAGTCAAAACAACAGTGAACCCCCTCAGAGCGAAACAAGAGTACCTGGAATTACTTTCGACAAATGAACACGCATCACTTATCATATTAGACATGACCACATTGGAAGTCCTCTACGACAACAAAACTGATTCCATGCCCGGCACCTCCACCATATGTTACGTCCAGATTTTGGTCGCAACGTCGTCCAAATACCAGACGAATAATCCGGGATTGGAAGGAATAAAAAGTCCAATTTAAAACAATAACAAATCGGGATTTATTAATAAATAATAGAAAAGAAAGTTTAACAAAAAAATTGAATAAATAAAACAAAACAAAATGAAATTTTGGAAATTAAAAATTGAAAGTTAAATCAGATTGCGATAAAATACAAATCGAAAGATTTTGGTTCGTACTTACATTATATGACTCAACATAATTTTGCACAACACTTTGTACTTTCTTGAAGTCTGCGAGGGTACTGTCCAAGCTTTAATTCGGTTTTTCGCCATCGAGTCTTTGATAAGTCAGCGAAATCAATTTTACCTTTGAAATAATTGAACTATCGTTTTGCGGACTCATCGAAGTTACAAAATTATAGTTATTGATTCGTAACCGAAATTGTTTAATTTTACAAAAGGAAACGACTTG